AAGAGACTGGTTCTCAATGGCAACCTCCTGCCTTCCAAGGCTCTACCGACAGTTCTTTAAAAACAGCACTGGCTTTCTCTCTCGTTATGGTCTTCCTCGTCTAGTCTCTTTCAGATCATTTTTACTTCAGGGTTCTTCTTTCTTGAACTGAGGCCCAGAACATTGCACTGTGGTCCTAATGAAGGTTACATATGAGATTTCATTTGTCTTTCTCTCGCAGGTACAGTCTCACATGTCACAGCCTTTTCCTTCAGCATCTCACACTTGGCTATTTATGATAAAATCTTGCCAATCTTAAAAAATCCTTTATTCTTTATGAAACTTTTGGTTCCTTAGCAGGGTTTACTTTTCCATCACATCTTATCTAAAGATTGGAGCCTGTTTGAAGAACTCTCCAAACCCCAGGATAGAGCCGACCCAAAATCTTGCCAATCTTAAAAAATCCTTTATTCTTTATGAAACTTTTGGTTCCTTAGCAGGGTTTACTTTTCCATCGCATCTTATCTAAAGATTGGAGCCTGTTTGAAGAACTCTCCAAACCCCAGGATAGAGCCGACCAAAATAAGAAAATTGGTGGTTTGAAATAATAATTTTACTGCCTTTAATGTAGCTGAGAAATACTTTACTCAACTCTAAAATTTTATTCCAAGAAAGATCTGGAACAAATTAGATGTAATAGATTGGTCTGAAAGCTGCAGACAGTTGAATGTTTCAAAATGTTCTGAAAGATGCAGAATGTGACAAAATTGCCCCATTAAAATCCTCTACCTCTGACCTAGACCGTGGAGCCTGGAGGCAGAATCTTCATGGACATCTGCTTATGTCCCAACAGTCATAGAACACATAAATGAACTTGATGAAGTACAAGCCATCACGGGAGGAGGAGAAACTCAGAAACAGCAACCTTTTCATTAGGAGGTAAAAGTGAACACAGGAATGAATGAGCACAGGCATGCTGCACCCCAGTGCTGACTTCCCTTGGGCCCTGGTGTCCTCGATGATTTAACAAGGGGTGTGCAGCTCACTCTGCTTTTCCTCAACCCCAAAGCCTACCCAGGCTCCAACCTACCCTCATCATCTCATGTTTCAACAATGTCAACGAACCAAGCTGAGTGAATCCCCGTGACGCTGGATGTGAGGCAGGTATTTAAATAAAAACTCACTTCTAGTGGTGCCTGTGTGTGGTCATGCCCATCCCACCTTGATTTAGTTGCTGGTGCTCTGAGATTGGACAACATGTGTGGTGGCTGTGGGTGAGAATGCCTGCCCATTGCTTCCGAAAGCAGCCACAGGTTACAGAATGAGCACAGCGGTGGCTTACAAAGGCAGTCAGTGTCTCTTCCTCAATCTTTGGGGATATTAGAGTAACTTAGGGAGATAACCAGTCTGTACCAGTTATTTTTATGAAAACTGAAACCCATATGGGTTTTACTGGACTTTGAGGCTTATGTGAGAAGACTTTGAGGCTTATGTTTCCTTTGGAACTCATATGCAATTTATAGACGGGTTGTATTTCAGAAGGTTTTCGTCTAGATGTTTGGAATTCAGAGTGCATTTCTTTTTAGAAATGATGTTTTAAATAGTGGTTCATTTCTCAATCCAATCCACAAAGAAACCTACTCAATCTGCAGTATGGCTTTGATGCTGTAAAACGGTGTATTTGTAATAAAAAATAATAATACCTAAGACTGTTGCTATATGAGTAATTTAAAAAATAGAGAAAAAATCACTGCTATGTTCATTATATTAAGTGCTAATATCTAGGTGGAAATAGGTTTAATTAGAGGGAAATGGAAAAGTATGTGAAAACTTTGTAGGGATTTTGAAAGAATATCTAGGAATTTTCAAAGGATTTAGAGCTGGTGGTACTGGTTGCTTGAAGTGGGTGGTCTGGAAAATGCTTCTAAGGATGTCTAGGTAGTTTCTTTCTCATAAGTGAGTTTCCTTAGAAATCTGTGAGAGGGTTGGGAAGAGGCAGTGAAGGAGAGAGCTCTTTTCAATGGTAAGTGCACAGAAATGAGAATATGCAAAGGAAGGAGAAGTTGACTAAAAAAGTCTATCTGAACATGACAGAAAGGAATTTGACTGCAAAGGAATCACCTGAACCAATGAAGAGGAGAAGGTGGTGGGGGAACTGTGCAAATCTCTCAGCTTCAGAAAGCTGGGGTGGCAATTCCTCTGTGATGGGTTGGTCCACAGTTGGCCTGTGATATTTTGGGGGGCTAGTTCTGTGGGGACCGGAGAATCCTCAGAAAAGTAGAAGAACTTGTTGAAAATGGACTGAACACAAATGCAGATGTTTTAAGACGCATTTACTACCTATCACTCTCCTTATAAAGAAACTGTAGAACCAAATTTTAAGGAATTGTACCTTGGTCTACTCGCTGGGTAAGTAAGACTGAAGACAGGGATTTAATTCTTGCCTGGACAGATGTATTTCTGCCTCCCTGTTCTTTTCACTAAACCTACCCTCTCTCTGCTTCTTATTAAAAATAAAACTATCTATATATTAGAATTAAAAAAAAAAAAACACCAATTAGCTTTGATTCCAGAATCTAAAATTGATGTTAAAATTAAAAATTTCCTAGGTCTATTCTGTTGAAGATAACATTTAAGAAATAATTTGTTTATCACTAATTTCCATTTCATCTTTAAGACAGAGAATAGGGGCCGAGCCCGTGGCGCACTCGGGAGAGTGCGGCACTAGGAGCGCAGCGATGCTCCCGCAGCGGGTTCGGATGCTATACGCGGGTTCGGATACTATATAGGAATGGCCGGTGTGCTCACAGCTCTCACTGGCTGAGCGTGGTGTGGGCGACACCACACCAAGAGTTGCGATCCCCTTACTGGTCACAAAAAAGACAGAGAATAGACTGTTCATCTTTGCATTCTCTAGGAAGAAATAAATTGCCAGGTAAGTTAATAGCAACTTCATCAAGAAATTATTAATATCTCAAGAGCAACATAATTTTCAAGTACTCTCAATGGTTTAAAGCCATTCATATAAAACACACTGATTATCAATTTTTAAAATCTATTTATTGGTAAAAAATGTTTTTGACTCCCTAGGGCATATATTAAATATAGGTAAAAGTACTTTGAGAACCTGCAAGTAAGAACATTTCAACTTTTCCATGAATTTAGAGTTTCAAGAATTCATAAATTGTTATAATTATTTTAGGGAGCTACTACTTCATATTGTATCAAATATTATATATATTTAATTTCTACAGATTGAGAGTTTAAGAAAATGAGCATAATTAAATGGCATTTTAAAAATTAGCAGCCTTGGACAGATTTTTAATTAAAGTCTATACTTTAAAGAGCAATTGGGTAGCAGGGAATGCCAGATGACCAGTATGTTTTACCACTCAGTTTGCACGAATCTGTCACATTTAAGGCAAGTTATCTATCAGTACTGGCCCAGGTAGTTTGCCACAAGGAAAAAAATAACTCACAACCACATGACGCACATGAAACAAGTTGCATAATATATAAAAACATATATAAATAGTGTCATATATAAACTGAACATTATACTCAAAGAGAGTTAGAAGTCTTCTGAATAATCATGTGCTCCAAGAATCTATGACTAAAGCGTAGTATATATTAGATACAGAACAGGATATGTAAAAGTTTTAATTACTTAAATGTTATACATTAACATTTGAAGAAGTTATTTCATAATAAGCTACTGTCCTTGAAGATGTTAAAATCATCTGAATGAAGAGCAACGAAAGAGGAAATGTGAAAAAAAAATTCCAGGAAGGAAGGATGTTAAATAATTTTGTATAATATAAATGGCCTTATTTATTACTTCCCTATAAAGAAGGCAACTTGTTCCCCAGCAATCCTTTACTGTCCAACCCCCCTCTCAGTCCTTCTCTCTTTGAACAGAAGGCATGTTGGGTTGAAAAAGAAAGCCTTTCCATAAAGAAGGCAACTTGTTCCCCAGCAATCCTTTACTGTCCAATCCCCCTCTCAGTCCTTCTCTCTTTGAACAGAAGGCATGTTGGGTTGAAAAAGAAAGCCTTTCATGGCAATGACCCAGTGCCACTGGCCGAGGGTAGAGGCAGACCTGGGTCCTGGATGATGGTTTCATGCTGCCTGCCCTTGCAACATTTCCAACACAGACACTGTGTCCTTGTAGCCATGAGGAGAATGCTTGTTCTGAAATGAAGTTCTCTTCTGAGGACAACATGTGATCAACAAGGTTTTGGTTTTGTTTCCACACAAATGTGACATTTTCAAGGGTTTATGCTAACTATTTCATTCCTTCCCAGGAGGAACCTAAAGCCAAATTTGGATTTTAATCTGGGGGGGATCAGCTTGCTGGATATGACCTCCTTGTTAATGAAAGTGGGGCTCGCAGACCAGCAATGTGGACAGGATTTGGGAACTAGCACAGAGGCATCTCCGGCCCTGCATCTTACAGACCCCCAGGTGATTTGGGTGCACTTAAGAGTTTGAGAAGTGCTGCTCTAGGCTTCTCTATAAGCTTCTATAAAGAAGGGAGTCCTGAACATTCCAGTCTGAGTATTCTCAGGGCATTGAAACAGTCTTTGGTAAATCATCACATTTTACCACTTGCTATTGGCAACAGCTGGAAGAGCCTGTTTTGGCAAAAATCCTTGTGTCTTTTGGAAATGTACCAAAAAGACTTTAAAAATAGCATTTTGTACTAATTCCCCAAAACATAACATGTCTATTTATGATTTTGGTTTGGTTGCGCTGCTAACAGAACCGTCTATAAAAGGTGCATATTAACATGGCTACAGAAATGACAGGTCACCATGAGCAGTGAAACTAAGTTTTCTAGAGTGATATTTTAAATTAGGGTTAATATTTTAATTATAAAACTAAAAGAAAAGGTCTGATCAATGACAGTTGAAGAATAACAACTTATTCTTATAATTCCCTCACTTTTTAACAAGCCACCATTTAAATTTTTTCTTTGCCATACAAAATAAATAAAGCTGCTGGTTAGACCAGACTCCTACCTTTATATCCTGTGGGTTGATATCAGGATTTGTTTGACACTGCAGAGGTCCCAGAGTTTGAATATGAAAAATATAGAGAAGAAATTCGTCCCGGGCAGAGAATGGCCAGCCCACCTCCAGAATAGTGTCACTGATGGTACTTGGTCCAATATTGTGCAGCTGCAAGCAAGTGACAGATTATATAATCGTATAGCACACAGTGGGTAGATAAAATCAAACTCCATATACTCTGCACCCATTTTAAAAAGCATGTATTATTAATTTTAAGTCGTTTTTTCACCTGACTGTGGAAAATAAGGGAATAAATAGTCCATATGGGCAAGAAAAGCTCAGAAATCATGATGTGCTGGTGTTCAGAGAAGACCCTTCAATTTGTGAAACTCAAAGAGTGGATTTTCTCAGCAAATATTATATTAACCATGTCTGATAATTGTGATGTTTACCTTCAAGTTATATTAGTTTAATTATAGCACTAGAAATGCAAATCTAATTACATGCTTTCAAAAATCAGTGATTTTTTCTTTACATTGAAACCTGGCTCTTCTTTCTCAACTACTGACTTATCAATTGCAACCATATGTGACACACTCTCTTTCACCCTCTGGATAAACGGCCATCCATCAAGTGCCAAAGCCCATCTCTGCTGACCACTATTCTCTCCAAGTGTGCATTTCAAAGCTGAGCTCTTTCTGTTTTAATCTTTACATTGAAACCTGGCTCTTCTTTCTCAACTACTGACTTATCAATTGCAACCATATGTGACACACTCTCTTTCACCCTCTGGATAAATGGCCATCCATCAAGTGCCAAAGCCCGTCTCTGCTGACCACTATTCTCTCCAAGTGTGCATTTCAAAGCTGAGCTCTTTCTGTTTTAATCAGCAAATCTCAAATAAAGAAAAGATACATCTCATAAAGAGATGAACGCTTTTAACACACGAATCCTGTACTTGGAGGACACAAAATAGCTCGTCAAAAACACTAAGTACATTTAAATCAATTACATTTTAAAAATTTACTTCAAAGTTAGCAGTGACATTCTGTCCTTTTCTTTTTCTCACAACTATAATGACCTATAAACAATGTATAATTGTTTTTGTTTATTAGGTAGCCTATTTAATTCACATTATCAAAGAAGCATCCATTGATATAGTATATTTTAACACATGAGATTAGCAGTTAAGAAACATTTGATGATTGTTTTTGGCACTACAGGTAATTACACTAAACTTTTAGGACCCACTTATACTAAGATTATAAGCAGGGCTGCCCTGAGAGTGATTGAGTCCGAATATGTTTTCAAACATTAAAGTTTCACCATTCTTGACTGAAAACTGGCACACATGAGCTTTAATAAATTATTTGACAGCTTTTTTTTTTCCCCCAGTGATGTTCTTAAAGCAAGTGGCTTTGGGGACTGTGTTATCCTTTTGCTATCAGAAGAGCTTAAGGCAGAGCTTTGATCCAGCTTTGAACAGGGCTTCTGAATCTGAACACAGGTTGGGCAGATGACGGAGGTTTTCAGGCTGATGCTACCCAGGAGTTGAAGCTTCTCCCCACATATGTAAACAGCTCATCAGTTTTGAAATGGCTTTACTGTTAACCTTAGAGAATGCTATTCATGTCCCTTGTAGCCTGAGATGAAAGTCATAGGCAGAATTATTAGATCACTGGCATGAGTTACGTGGGAAAGGAACAGAAGGCATTAATCAGGAAGGAACCTCAAACAGCAAATGCCTTGGAACACTGTTTTACCAAGATTCCACCCCTGGTTTCTTGAAAATGAACAGGAATAACTATCCTCTAGTGATAGCATTGACTTTATTAAAAACAAAACAAAACAAAAACGTGAACAAGTACTAAACTAACCCTTTACTATATGTTGGTTTCTAACTGTAAGAAATTTAAATGTTTTAGATGATGTGTCAACAAATCTTTTCCTTAGTCACAATTTGACACTTGAAATGGGAAAAGAACCATCAGGTCCTTTTCATGTGTTGCTGATTTGCTTCTGGAAAATATTTTGCTAATCAATGGACTTTCAAATCTCAGAACAAGTTATTCATTTCTAATTTGGGTTATTTGAATACAAAGTAGAATTATTATCTATCTACCATCCACCCATCTCATAATAGTGAATAATTCAGAAACTTTTCTGTCTGGCACCTTCTAGTTGGTGAGCTTCAGTTTAAGAAATGGGTTGGTTTTTTCAGCCAGCCCAGTGGCAACCACTGAGCTGCCACAGGAAGCGCCCCGGGCTCTCCTGAGCCAGGGTGGTGGAGGGCCGAGGGCCTCAGCCACGACCCCCTGAGATGGGCAATCAGCCCAGTGCTGACCACCAAGCCACAGCAAGAAGGGCCCTGGGTTCCTAGGCTGGGATGGTGGGGGGTGAGGGCTTTTGCCAAACCCTTCTGACATTTGCACCCAGCCTGGCAATGGCAAAGCCACCACTGGAAGCCCCCCAGTCTCCCCTATGGGAATGAGGGGGTACCACAGGCTTCAATCCCACCCCTGCTCCTTCCTTCTTCCATCCCATTTCCTTCTCCTTTCCTCTCTCCCCCTCCCTCCCAAATGCTCCTCAACAACATCCTAGAATGTAAAAAATAATATTAACAAAATTACATTTTATTTTAAAAA